TTTTTTCTACTTCTGTTTATGTTTTTCTATTTGTTTTGTACTTTTAACTTAAAATGTATTATCTAATGTATCATTCATTTTTACCCTTTAGAAAATAGTGAGAGGGTGTAGGTTTTTGTGAAATGGCAGATTTTGAGGACTTGGTGATTGTTAATTTCTACTGTCCTTGATGTTTCTTTTCCGTGTCTTTTTTCCCACCATATGAAAAAAGATGACTACATTCGAACTGCATGGGGGGACACAAATGTATTCGTTGACCAAATTGGAATATATAATCAAAATACTAATCATATTATACTGTTTATCATCAATTTTACTACTTACGCATATTTTTAAACACCTATAAATTTTTAGTTAGTTTCTTATTCTTATGTTACCTCTTCTAAATCAAATACATTTCGAAACTTGTGGACCATCATTTCTCATATGGAAAAGAACTTTGTTCACTATTCTCTAACCAATCCAAAGTTTTCAAAACTTACCTTTTCTAATTAAATATGCATTTTGAAAGTTTTGGATCGTCATTACTCATATACTTTTTCTCTATCCTCAAACCAATCCAAAGTTTACAAAAAAGATCACTACGAAAAAAGATAACTACGAAAGTCTTCCAATAAATCATGATTTTGTTTTCCTAACAAAAAATTCTCCGTCTACACTCAAAAGTTTGTCCTTTTTTCTTTTTCTTTTTCTTTTTCTTTTTTATCTCGAAATTGAAAATTTTGATGGAAGAAACCATCTCATATTTGAGTAAACTCACTTCTACATTAACTAATTTTATTTTTTAAACCAGAGCAGAGCCCNAAAACACAAAAAACACACACAATTACACACAGAGTCATTGCATGACATTATTTCACGACTAACCGAAAACCAAGAAAGAAAGAGAAACCAGAAAACAAATCCGGCTACTTCGAATATTGAAACAGCAGAGCCACACGGTAACAAATATCAGTAAGCTTCACAATGACCCCACTCTCATTCCTAATTTGTCGGAAAACTACAGACGATGATGACGAAGAAGCACGATTCAAACGTTTATCACACGAGCTAACATTGCCTTGCGCGGAAAGCGCCAGCACATTGAATTCTTCGTAAGTTTCAGAGTCAAGGTCCTCGAGCACCGTGGCAAGGGCCCACTTGGTTCGGTTGTAATCACCCGAGCACTTCCGCATGGCGTTTAATTCTTTTTTGTTCCTTTTATAAGTGATTATCGGGAGAATTTGATTTAGGATATCGTTGGCCTTGGCGTAGGTTTTGCGGAAGGCTATGTAGGAGAGGTCGATGATGTCAGTTGGGGTCACAGTGTCGTTGAAGAAGGTGGCGCAGCAGAAATCAAAGCCGGTGGTTTTATTGACGTTTTCGCAGACGGAGGTTACTAAAGGGTTGTCATGGCATGTTTGGGTCGCCGGATTTTGTTTTCCGGAGGCGGCGGTGGTGATCGGTGGAGAGGATGGGAAAAGAAAGAGGATGGTTGCATGAGTGATGATCAAGAGAGGAAAATAACTGCCCATCTTTTTTTTCTTTTTTTTTATGATGAGAAGATAGAATGGGGAATTTGGTGGGATGAGAATTGACATATGGTCATGTACATATCTATATATAAAGAGAGGGTAAGGCTACAATCCCGTTACGGAACCATTTCGTTGGGATTTGTAACCGTTAGATCAACTATCATTGACGGTTACTTGATGATCTAACGGTTACAATCCCAACGGAATGGTTCCGTAACGGGATTGTAGCATTTTCCTATAAAGAGAATAACTATTTATTAAATATAGTAGCTAAAAAAATTTAGGAACATTTAATGCATACCTTTTTTAGAAACTTCTTAAATATATGCATTAAATCAAATATAATAAAAAAGTTTCTTTTCCTTGATTGTTAACATACATATCTACAATAATTTCATTAATCTTCATTATTATAAGTTATAAAATGGATTTTCTATGATTCATGTTGATAATATTTTGGTCAAGATAAACATAAAAACATATTCTCAGTTCTAACGATATTATTATATTTTTTCACAAATATCGACTTTTCATCCAAATATATTTATAGAAAATCATGACAGATTAGATAAACTTTTTTCTTCTAATTTATCAGGCAAAATTAAGTTAGTGAATTAATCTTTACCAATATAATTTTTTATGAAACTTTATTTCATTATATATATATAGGGGACAGATCCAATGAGACCACTACTTAAATGAGTACGTGAGACTCAATCTTAGCCACTCATTTTGTCTAGATCAAAATCAATTAAAATATACATTAATTAAATAATAAAATAATTATTAGTTGACTCCGGCATTGACCATTGACTTCGGCGTTGACTTTCAGCGAAAATAGTTGACTTCCGGTGAAAATCGTTGCCTTCCGGCGTTGACCGTTGACTTCCAACGTTGACTCCAGCGTTTGACCCGTTGACAACTAACCTAGCAACAAGAAAGAAATAACCTACCAACAAAAAACAACTAACCTAGCAGCATCAGACAACTAACCTAGCAGCAAGAAAGAAATAACCTAGCAACTTAAGACAACTAACCTAACAACAAAACTCAACTAACTTAGCAGCTACAAATAACTAACCTAGCAATAACAGACAACTAACCTAGCAACAAAACACAACTGACCTAGCAGCTATAGATAACTAACCTAGCAACAAAAGACAACTAACCTAGCAGCAAGAAAGAAATAACCTAGCAACAAAAGACAACTAACCTAGCAGCAAGAAAGAAATAACCTAGCAACAAAAGACAACTAATGAAGCAGCATCAGACAACTAACCTAGCAACATTAGACAACTAACCTAGCAGCAAGAAAGAACTAACCTACCAACAAAAGAAAACTAACCTACCAACAAAAGACAACTAACCTAGCAGCAAGAAAAAAATAACCTAGCAACTTAAGACAATTATTACTCTCTCTCTCTCTCTCTCACAATCCCATTTTCTCTCTCTAGAATTCTTCTTCTTTCTCTCTCTCTCTCTCTCCTCACCGTCCATGGCGTCCGCGCGGGAGGGCCACTACCGGGGCGTTCGGAAGCGGCCGTGGGGCCGGTACGCGGCGGAGATCCGCGACCCTTGGAAGAAGACGCGCGTGTGGCTCGGCACCTTCGACACCCCCGAGGAGGCCGCCATGGCCTACGACGGCGCCGCCAGGTCCCTCCGCGGCGCCAAGGCCAAGACCAACTTCCCCGCCCCGCCGCCGCCGTCGCTCGACCTCAACCTCCCGTCCGACCACCGCTTCTTCCCGCCGCCGCCTCCGCCGCCAGGAAGGCTCACCATCACCGACTTTCTCCACACCGCCGTGCTCGGTGACGTTCCGGCTCGTCAGTTTGCCGGTGGAGGTCAGGCGCGGCGCCGGCCGACGGCGACGCCTCTGCGGCGAGGTACTTCGGGATCGTGAGGCGTGGCTTGCCCATAGACCCCAACGAACCTCCGCCCTTCTGGATGTAGAGCATTCCCCCTTAATTTATTTTCCTCGAGATGTTGATGGTTTTGGACGGCGGAGATTTTCTCAACTCGTTTAGATCAGATGAAAAAGGTTAATATCGTTATCGCCTGTATATATTTGTTTAGTTTTTTCCCGAGATCATTAGTTTGAGTTTAAGGATCTTTCCTTTATTTCTCTAATCCACGGCGTAGATTTTTGCTGCGGTTTTTAGCCTTGAAATCCATGCATGTAGCTTTGATATTGCTAGCTTTTATCAGTTTATGATTTAGAGTTATTNAAAAAAAAAAAAACCTAGCAACTTAAGACAACTAACCTAGCAACAAAACTCAACTAACCTAGCAGCTACAAATAACTAACCTAGCAACAACACACAACTAACCTAGCAGCTAAAGATAACTAACCTAGCAACAAAAGACAACTAACTTAGCAGCAAGAAAAAAATAACCTAGCAACAAAAGACAACTAACCTAGCAACTACAGACAACTAACCTAGCTGCATCCGAAAATAACCTAGCAAACAGCAAAAAACTAACCTAGCAGCAAGAAAGAAATAGCCTAGCAGCAAAAGACAACTAACGTGGCGTATCTACGCTTGCTAAGTGTATTGGACAGCCGATTCGTATTGACGCCCCGACGGCCCTTCAGTCGAGGGCTAACGTGGCGCGATTTTGTGTAGAGATAGACCTCAGAGTTGAGCCCATCCATGAGATTGACCATCAATATTAGCCATGTACCCTTCGTAGTTGAAATAGATTGTGAAAGAATTACTGCAACATTATAAAGAAGAAGAGAACACATGTCACAGAACAACATAGCTAAATTCATGATTTAACTCGAAGTAATAATCATGGTTCAACAAATCTATTGTACATGCCAATTACTAAATCCGCAACACAAAAAAAAAAAAAAAAAAGAAAGAAAATACAGGCTCGAAGAATGGACATTTGCAATCTCATATTCAGTTTCCAAAATATAGCCTACAACACCACAATTTCATCTCATATGGAATTACAAGGGGACGAGCTCTACCTGTCGTCCATTACAAAATGAAATTTCTTCTCAAATGGGGCTTCGCCAATTCCTCGCGTCTGCAATTTTTGGATTTTTGAACATTTGAAATTAGGAATTTTGGAATTTAGAAGAGAATTAGGGTTTTTAAGTTATGATTCACCTTTTAGCATCGCCACGTCAATGCCACAGCATGGCCACATCAACCCCTCAAAATTTCCGTCAATTCCAAGTCAGCATTCTGTAAACGGCACCGTGAATCGTGGTTCGTTTTGCAAAAAAAGGCAAAGGTCGTGATTAAATTGCCAATTCCCAAATGTGGTGATTAAAATGCAAAACTGTGAAAGTGTTAGAGTAGGGTACCCGGCGTTCCAATCTAATTGGACGTATTCTACTTGTAAATACAGTATATTGGAATTATATTATGAATAAGGTATTTCTTTATCTTAAGAGAAAGCATTTATCTTATAATTGCACTTAAGATAAAATCCCTAGATCACTTATGGTTATAAGGTATGGTTGCGCATAGAGATGGTGATCATGGAACATACCTTGAAAGCCGTGATCTTAAATACAGTTCCAAGTCGATGGATGTTTCGAGATGGGATATCGAATAATCCATAAAAGACTTGCACATAGTTTGTA